CGAATGCTAAACTAGAACATGGGTTTACATGTGTTCCATTTTATAGAACCAAAACCTATGAAACTGTACCCTAAAAAAAGAATCATGTGGAACCTTTTCGCAAATGCAAGTTTCTTTTGGCATTTTTGTACCACGTGTTGCTATTCGACATTGGTTAGAGTTCAGGCCAAGTTCAGAATAATGGGAAAATGTCACAAAAAACTAGAGGGTAGAATTTCTATGAAAAAAAATCATGATTTGTTGTCATTTGTAACAAAGGAACTAATATCCTAATATTATTAGTTCTTCTGGAATGGTGCAACCAATATAAGTTTCTGATGAATACAAAGTGCGTGCATATAGAGTTGATAAGAGCTCATCATATATATTGAATAAAGATATATGACGAGACATGATAACAACTTTGTACACCAAACTAAGATAAACATAATGAACTTAAGAAACAATTTTGCACACAATATAAATAAAATACTTGAGCATCATAAGTTCACACACCCACAAACATAGTACGGAAAGATACCATAGATAATAGAGCTTTCGAAGCCTTATAAGATACTAATAAGAGAGTGGCTTGAAAAAAAATCAGCAATTACCCACATAATGACCCAGGAAAATATTATTGAACTCGTCCATCTCCTCCTTTGGCATCCAAATACCAAACAGACTTTGTGCAGTTTGAGGATTTTTTCCACAAGAAGAAACAAGACTAGTGTTGTTTGAGGAATATTTCCACCTCGACGTTGGTCGAATGTGACAAAAAAATCCATGCAGATCATGCTTTATTCCCATGAGTGCGAGTACCGAGTGAGGAATCATCCATAGTCCAACGCCACAAAGTAGCCCGGATACAATAGTGGGTGCTATCTGCTAACTAGTGACAGGGCTAGACAGAAAGTTTAGGGGGCAAATGGCAAAACATAGAGACTTGAGGGGGTCAAATGAAAATTTTGTTCTCATCTAAGCCCTCTAAAAATACTTCCTTCACCATTTTCCTAAGGCTGGGGGGGGGGGCACAGCCCCCTCATAAGCACACATAGCTCTGGCACTGGTGCTAACTCCTTGGCATTTGCACTGTCCATGTTGTCCCACACACCTAACAATAGGCTCTCGATGAACATGTCAATGGAAAACCTGGAGTCGGCGTACAAAGGGATCACCATGGCCATCGGCAGCGAGAACCTCGCAAAATGTGAGCTCAAAAGGTCTCTGCCCACGTTGACAGTGATGGCAGCTACAAAACGGACGACGATAAGGCTGACACAATATCCAGAAGATGGCGGGGGTGATGATGCAGCCCATGGTTGTGCCGATTAGCTGGCTCACGACCATTGACCGCGATGATGTCAGTGTCATGTAACCTATCTTGGCATTCTGCATCACTTCTCCAGACATCTTGACTACGCTGAAGATGATGGTATAGGTGGTCAGACCAGCAATAACACCATCATCCCTTGCTCCCGACCAAGCCCCCACAACCAGGATTACAAGTTTCCTGTATGTTGATGCGATGGAGAAGTCTGTGTGGCTAAGAGCATGCACATAGCAGAACGCTAGCACTGTTACACAATTTCAGGTCCGCTAACACTAGCGTTTCCGATCCATATGCGCCAACCAAGCCCAACAAAAGAGCAGCACAGACATATGAGAGGCCTTAGGCCACTCACCCCAAAAAACTAGCCTAATAGGAGGGGACACTCCCCCCCCCTGCCTCCCCCACAACCGATGTGAGACTAAACCCAACAATTTTTCCCCTTCACACATCGGGCATCATTGGCTCGCTAACACCAATGTTTTCAGCCTACCAACCATGACCGACAACCTGTGAGTCCATCAAGATTTATATCTTATTTGGGCTCTGATATCAATTATTGGCTTTGATCCGGTCTGTACAACTTTGCCTGGACGAGTGCTTTCCGTTGAGGACGTACACGTACACAAGCTTGCTTCTGATGCGTTTTAGCTAGCCGATGCTTTTGGCCAACTCACGTACGTATCAACTAGTAGCAAGGCTAGCTAGCAAGCTATCAGGTGGATGTATTCCGCCGAGGTCAATCGATGAACCAGAAAAATAGGCACGCATGAGAGCACACGAGAACACAACGGGCGACTTGATGACAGGCGGTCCTATGTGTTCATTGCTTTTTCTATCTGGTAGCTCTATTCCTAATGGAACAGTTGGTAGTCTCCGTCGGTTAATTTTCGTCCCACCACTTTTGTCCAGTTTTTTCGTAGGTTAACCTTCGTAGATTTTTTTCGTCTGGTTTATTTTTGTCTCACCTTCTATTATTATATCCTCACGGTGATTTTTTTTCACTCTCTCATTAAAAAATTTCTTAACATTTGCAAACTTTCCTAACCATGCATGTCACAAACGGGCAGGTATTGATATCATGTTACAAACAATAAAACCCATTTTCATGGAAATTAATTCAAATCCTAATTTCCTAACACATTGGTTCTTACCTTTTCTAATCTCTACTCAGTTTGTAGGCATGTCACAAACGGGCAGGTATTGATATCACGTTACAAACAATAAAACCCATTTTCATGGAAATCAATTCAAATCCTAACT